GGAATAACATTAAAATGATTAGAAGGATGTTCCATGTTCCATTGTTCTCAGTCCTGTTGTAGTGAGATTAAAACATGGTTATAAGTCTTGTTTGACTCTTTCAGAAGGTCTGTGCTGAATTAACGAAGGTTTTCTTGAACTGATTCTTCCGTTCTTCTGGGGAGTTTGCCATTCAACTTCACTATGTTCATTTTCAGGTTAGCAAAGGAGACAGTAAAAATGCCAAAAAGAAAAACAACAAGAAGACCAGTAAAAATAAGAGCAGTTTAAGTCGTGGTAACAAAAAGAAGCCAGGCATGCCCAATGTCTCCAATGATCTTTCCCAGAAACTCTATGCCACCATGGAAAAGCACAAGGAGGTAAGAGTGAAGTAAACATTTCTGGGGCCTCCTAAAATGAGTTTGAAAGGGAGGGGTTGATGAAGGAAATGTAAGACAAAGTTGGCAAGTGATTCTAAAGAAACAATATAACGTGCTCTTGCTAATAAGAAAGCAGGAACAGTATCAATGGCTTTTTAGAAATTAATAGCATTGTTGACTTTTTAAAGCACTATTGTTATGTGTATGTAAGATACTGACCATTTTTGCCAAATTGTAGGATGGGAGTGCAATATAAACTATATTCATGGGCTTATAGTCTGAAGTACATACAAGAAAAAAGTATGCGAGATATATAATGGAGGAAAACGGTCTATCCCACAATTTGTTCAATCAGATTAAAATAACCCAAGTTAATAAAGTTACCAAAGTAGCCTAATGGTTGTGAATTGATTATATTCAGAAAATAAAGTTACCTGTTTTATTTAAATAATGGATATTGTTTGACAATATTGTATCTGTAATGAAATGTTGCCTGAATTCACACAGTGTATTAAGTTGTAATATGTCATATTTTTTTTTGCTCTGATTCTGAATTCTACGCAAATTCAACCAATAATTTATCATTTCCAGGTAAAAAGAAATAAAATCACATGTTTTAGTTAAGCCCCCATTTACTTGCACTACCACTTACTTGCCATTGATCATAACTGGATCACTAAAGAAAACTAAATGACTAGATTTCAATGTTTAATTAGTACATGGTAGAAGGATTGCTGCAAATTATACTTACTGCTCTAATAAGCATTTGATAAAATTAAAAAGAAATTAAAGCCTGTATCTGATACCTGTAACCTATACAAACATTTAACACTGAAATTAAAAGCATAGATTATCAAACTTTCTATATTTAAAAAATGTTGCTTAGAAGGGAATCTAAAATAGGCCTGTCTCTTTTACAGGTATTCTTTGTGATCCGTCTCATTGCTGGTCCTCAAGCCAACTCTCTGCCTCCCATCACTGAACCTGACCCACTTATTCCGTGTGACTTAATGGATGGGCGTGATGCCTTCCTTACCCTTGCTAGAGACAAACATCTTGAGTTTTCTTCACTACGAAGAGCAATGTGGTCAACTATGTGCATGCTAGTAGAGCTGCATACACAGAGCCAAGACCGTTTTGTGTACACCTGCAATGAGTGCAAGCACCATGTGGAGACAAGATGGCATTGCACTGTTTGTGAGGTATGCCTAACCTATAGTGAAGCAGCTGGTTAAACTTGCATTTCGGGAATTTCTTTGCCTGTTATTTTCCCTTGTAAATGCTTAATCGGATAATAAATATATAGGTACCTCTGTCATCTCAATATAGCTCCTCCCTGCTTGATAACTTTATATGACAGAGATCCATGAAATGATAGGAATCCCTATTAAAGATAGTACATTACCTATTTTATTTACCTGAGAATTCTATGGGCTTATACATAGAAGACTACATCAGTAAAAATAGGAGAAAGCCCTTGATTTGTGATTCTTTGTATATTAGTACCAATGCAATACTTTCTGTGATCTTCATTGTATAGTTTTGATATACTATTAACTCTAGTAAGCATTTGATTAACTTGCCCAGCTTTTTACTTTTGCTTATTTTAATAAATTTTTCTGTTTTATCTGGACAAAAATGCTTATGTGCATAAAATATAAAAATGTTGTCTTAGATAACATTACCATTATCATATTGAAATTGGTAGAACATAATGTAGTCTTCAATTCATACAGTTATCTAGAGTTATAAACTAGTGAACCTCTGTTGATCTAAAGTTCCAAGTATCTGATTATAATAATTTCTGTGTTTAGGATTATGACTTGTGCATTACCTGCTATAACACTAAAAATCATGAGCACAAGATGGAGAAACTGGGCCTTGGAATTGATGATGAGAGCAACAACCAACAGACAGCCACCACTCAGAGTCCTGGTGATTCACGTCGCCTGAGTATCCAGCGTTGCATCCAGTCTTTAGTTCACGCCTGCCAGTGTCGCAATGCCAACTGTTCATTGCCATCTTGTCAAAAAATGAAAAGAGTTGTCCAGCACACCAAAGGTTGCAAACGCAAAACCAATGGAGGGTGTCCAATTTGCAAACAACTCATTGCTCTTTGCTGCTACCATGCTAAGCACTGCCAGGAGAACAAGTGCCCAGTGCCATTTTGCCTAAATATCAAACATAAACTTCGTCAGCAACAGCTTCAGCATCGCCTACAACAGGCCCAGATGCTCCGGAGGAGGATGGCAAGTATGCAGAGGACAGGCATAGTAGGACAACAGCAAGGGTTGCCTTCACCTACACCAGCCACACCAACTACTCCAACAGGCCAGCAGCCACCAACTCCTCAAACACCACAGCCTCAGCCTCCACCACAGCCTGCTTCACAACCACAACCTGCGCCTCCTAATAACATGCCTCCATATAGCATTGCAAGAACTCAACCTCCTGGTGCTGTATCTCAAGGCAAGGCAGGTGGCCAGATAACTCCTCCAACAACTCCTCAGACTGTTCAGCCACCTATCCAGGGTCCTCCTGCAGCTGCCGTGGAAATAGCCATGCAGATACAACGAGTAGCAGATCACCAGCGGCAGATGGCTCATGTTCCAATCTTCCAGAGGCCTATTCAACACCAGATGCCTCAAATGAATCCAATACAGCCTATGACTGTAACACCACCTCAGATGGCCAGAGGTCCTGGTGGGCACATAGACCAAGGGATGGGATCAACAGGAATTCAGCAGCAGCCAGCATGGGCCCAAGGTGGGTTGCCACAACCTCAGCAGCTGCAGCCCGGAATGCAAAGACCGACAATGATGTCAATGGCCCAACCTGGACAGCCAATGAATATGTCACAACAACCAGGAATGGGTCAGGTACCTGGTACAGCTCCATCAAAACCAGGCTCTCTGCCTCAGGCAGCCTTACAAAACCTGCTGCGGACTCTCAGGTCTCCCAGCTCTCCCATGCAGCAGCAGCAGGTGCTTAACATCTTGCATTCAAACCCTCAGTTGTTAGCTGCTTTCATTAAGCAGCGGGCTGCCAAGTATGCTGGTAACCCGAATCCACAAGGCATGCCGGGACAGCCTGGAATGCCTCAGGGCCAGCCAAGTCTGCAGCAACAGCAGCAGCAGCAGCAGGTCATGCCAGGACAACAAGGTGTTCACTCAAATCCAGCCATGCAGAACATGAATCCAATGCAAGCAGGTGTTCAGAGGCCTAGCATGCCTCAGCAGTCACCGCCTCAGCAGCCTCCACCCCAGCAAGCCATGGGTGGGATGAATCCTCAGGCACAGCCAATGAACATGAATCATTCGGGAATGTCTCCCCAGTTCCGGGATCTCCTGCTAAGACGGCAGATGATTGAACAACAGCGTCAGCAGCAGCAACAAGGAACAGGACCAAATTTAGGTCCTGGAATAGCCAATCATAACCAGTTCCAACAGCCTCAAGGAGTTGGGTATCCTCAGCAGCAGCAGCAGCAGCAGCAACAACAACGAATGCAGCATCATATGCAGCAGTTGCAGCAAGGAAATATGGGACAGATGAGCCAGCTTCCTCAGGCAATGAGTGCAGACACAGGATCAAATTTGCAGCAGGCTTACCAACAGCGATTACTCCAACAGCAAATTGGATCCCCAGCTCAGCCAAATCCTATGAGTCCTCAGCAACACATGCTTCCTAATCAGGCCCAGTCCCCACACTTACAAGGTCAACAGATTCCATCATCACTTACCAATCAAGTTCGTTCTCCACAACCTGTCCCCTCACCACGCCCCCAATCCCAGCCACCCCACTCCAGCCCTTCCCCTAGGATGCAGCCTCAACCTTCTCCACATCACGTCTCTCCACAAACCAGCTCCCCACATCCAGGACTGGTAGCTGCCCAGGCTAACCCCATGGATCAAGGGCACTTTGCCAGCTCGGACCAGAATGCAATGCTTTCTCAGCTTGCTAATAATCCAGGCATGGCAGGGCTCCATGGTGCAGGTGCCACAGAACTGGGACTCAGCTCAGATAATTCAGACTTAAATTCAAATCTTTCACAGAGTACACTAGACATACGCTAAGATACATTGTAGCATTTTGGGAGCAAAAAAAAACTTATTTTCTCAAGAGGTTTTGTACTGAAGACAATTTTTTGAATCTTTCTTAGCAGAACATTTTCCCTGGAATACACCTGAAATCTGCAACAGTAGTTTGTGGTTTTAAAAACAAACAAAAAAACCCCCAACTGAAATGGGGGACAATGGAATACAAAGAAAATATATTTTTGTTATGGCTGGGACTGTAACCAGTCCTTTTTTTTGTTTTTGTTTTCCCTTCGCGTGTGTTGGGGAGGTGCTTGGGAGTGGATAGTTGTTTGGCTGCTGACCAAATGACTTCCTTCACTAGCCTCCAATAGGTTTTATTTTTTTTAAATTAATGAAAATATGTAATATTGATAGTTATAATTTACTGAGGCAAATGGTTAACTTTACCCTATTCTGGTTTTCCTCTTGTCTACTGCAAAAACAGCAACGAAAACAAAACAAAACAAAAGAACATTACCTAAACTGGAGGACAAAAAAAAGGTGAATGTTGCTTTAAAATTACAGTGCATATATATATATATATAAATATATATATAAATATATATTAAAGATAAATACCAATTTCTTCCTTGGTTGGAACGATGTCAATTCTTTTAAAAACTGTAAAAAAAAAATATTAAGAAATCCAGTCTCCCCTCTGAAGTCTACTTTTGTCCTCCAAGAATTTTCTATACCAGAGTCTGAGCTTAAACTTCAAGTATTAAAATTTGTACATGTAGAAAACTTTTTTGCAAATATATGGGGGCAGCTGCCAAATGGATGTAGTATATATATTGTGGTTTGTTTTCCTGAAAGATTTTTTGTTATTTTTACATCTAACAAAGGAAAAAACTAAAGAGGGTAAGAAACTATTCCAAGGGTCAAATTTTAACCTGAGCAAAAATCCCTGGGGTTTCTTCTTTATGCTTGCTTTCTCTTTCCCTTCCTTCCCTTTTTCTCCTCTTCCATTTTCTGTAAAACTTGAAAATAGAAAGCAAAAAACCCTCAAATGTTGTAAATCATGCAATTAAAGTTGATTACTTATAAATATGAACTTTCGATCACTGTATAGACTGTTAATTGATTTCTTATTACCTATTGTTAAATAAACTGTGTGAGACAGACTGCTTTTTTTATGCTTCCCTTCTTCTTTTCCCTACGGTTGGTGCTTATTTTACAATGGGGAAAGAAGATGGTATGCTTTTACAGACAACCTATGAAAATCCAATCCGTGTACATATTATACTTGTGTTTGGTCTTTTTTAAAGTGGGTGTTTTAGACTGTAATGAAGACAATGACTGTCCATTTTGGTGTGCCTTTGTATTTGCTTTTATTTGTGCTTCGAAAAGTACAGATATTTTTAATATCGAGGTGGGTGATAATTGCATATTTGACTTGGTTGCACTTTAGCCTCAAAGCAAACATGTTCAGTGTGCAGATTTTAGAGCTGTGCAGGCTTACTCTTCTGTGATTCAGGAAGTTGCTTTGCACTCTGATTCAAGAGTAATGAAAGTAATGAAAATTTCAGGCACATTTTGACCACTCCAGCAGTTACAGATTTTAATTATAAAAATGCTTTGATACACCCTTTACCAAGAACAGCAGTTTTGTAGTTTGAAGTTTTTCATGCCCACTAAATTAAATAAGAGTAAATAATTCTTAGCTACATATCTGTTAATAAGTACATTGCAATTATACAAGGAATCTAAAGATACATCTTGATTTCTTCTGATGTGGGCAGACCTGAGAATCTGAGGACGTTTTTGCCTTGTCACGTATTAACATATGGAAATTCTGTCATCTTGATATCTACATGTGTTGGTAAAGATAAGGTCTTCTAAATTATATATGATGTCTTGTATCCATTTCTGGATTGGCTCAAAACTATGGTCAGGTTCCTGTTTTGGGTAACCCCTAGGAATAATCAATGTCTTTTTAGAATAGCAGATTAGAGCATTAGTGATTGAACATCAAATAAAGATGAAAGGGTACAAATAAGCTTAATACGGAAATATGAGCAGAAAAGAGAAAAACAGGAATATACAATATAATATTGTACAATTCCTAGTACAAATATAATTCACACAAAATATGCTAAATTATACACCTGCAATGGTCTGTAGTATCAAAATTCAATTTAAATTTTAATGGTTAATATAACTTGGATGAGTAACCATTTTGCCAAATTTAAGTTTTGTATTTGTTAGAGTGGATTTCTATTCATTAAGCATTCTAGTAGTCCTTGACTTATGACAAGTTCAAAGTTATAATGAACCCTCCAAAAGGTACTTACAATCTGCATTTGAAGTTCTGATGGTCAGCCACCATGTGCAGTCACATGATGATTGCATTTTTGTACTCTGCAACCAGCCCACATTGTTTGCAGCATCCTGCAGTCATGTGGCGGTGATTTTCCATATTTTTTTTGCCAGAAACCAGTATTTACCGTAACTTATAGTTTCTGCAGAAAAAAAAAAGGTCCGTTGTGGAAAATAGGTTCTCTTAACAACTGCTGGGAAAAAAATGTAAAATCGGGTCAGTCATATATATGGGTGGCAAAATTTAACAACTGCCATGATATACAACAGAAATGTCAGGGTCCATTACAGTCATAATTCGAGACTACCTGTAAATTATTGTTTCATTTTTATCTATATAAATTCATTCTTTTTGCATGCTTTATTTGGAAGCATAATATAGTAGCTAATTAAACTGACCTTACTGATTCCATTTTAAAAAAGATTTATAGTAGTCTTAATCTGTTTTGTCAATGGATGTAGGTTATATATATTATGCTACTTTTTAGGGCTTAATTATAGTAAACAATGAGAAATGCTCCTCTAGAAGAATCAGATATGTGGCACTTCTTAGTGCAACTAAACTAAATTTTAATTATGTTTTTGATTGGAATAGCAAGATGGAGATATTCCTGTCTGAAGGCCCCATTCTCTTTCATGATAACATGTAAACTCAGAAGCTTATTTCTTAATCTCAGACATCTTAAAGTTGAATTATTCTTTTGTCCTGCAGAAACGTCATAGTCATGTATAATTTATAAAAACATTTGCATCTTCAAAAATGTTTAGGATTTCATTGTAAAGTAACTTGTATATTTCCCAGCTAAGAGCTATACAAAAAGTTATATTTTTTGTTACAATATACAAGATCACAGATTTCTGTTTAATATGAAATCACAGCACATGCAGAGCTATCTCTAAAGTATAGTATTAGTATTAAATCAATAATTAACTTAATAGGTGCCTAGGATGCATTGTTGAATTGAGAAACAAAATATATGTGAATTACATGCCTTTGAGGTGTTGGATGAGTACCTTATCAAATGTCAATCTCTGTTGGGATTATTTATCAAAAAAGTGGTTTCCAAATACATTTTGTTTATTTAGGAACATAGAAGATTGTTACAGAAAATATAATAGTACAGCTGCCCCACTTACTAAATATGATCAATATCTCTAAGAATTACTTATTGGTACTAATTTTTATTTTATTTAAATTTATTGACTGCCCAATTCTAATGGACCATTACCTTACAAAATAATGAAGCTTCCACCTTACTGAGGAACTTAGGTATAAAATTCAATAAAATATAGTGAAAATGAAAGACAAAAATAGTGTTGAATACTGTAGATTGCAAATCAACACAAATGTCATGTCTGGATTGGTACCTATTCGGACATCTATATTGTTTTCAATAAAATATAGTGAAAATGAAAGACAAAAATGGTGTTGAATACTGTAGATTGCAAATCAACACAAATGTCATGTCTGGATTGGTACCTATTCGGACATCTATATTGTTTTCCCAGCATCCTGAAATAATCCAAGTAAGATATGAGTAGATATTTCTGAGTTATATAAAAGATTATACCTGACTCTAGATAAAAAAAAATAGCACAGCTATGAGGACTTTTGCTCCTGCCTATGCATGGGAGTATTCATGACCTTTAATTGCTCTGACACATTGAGGTAGAAATAGAATGTATCAACTACTGGAAGGAAGAATTGGAAATAACCTGCCAGTATGGAATTCGGACTCTGTTGGTATGAGTAAAAATTAACACTGCCAAATAACTAAGATGTGGTTTCTTGGGAGCATACTGTTTGAAAGAACTTATTTTTCTTCCTAAAGCTTTATTACTCTTAGAGAAAACAACTATGTCAGCTGAGTTCTGATTTGCATACCAGTGTATATCTAATCATGAAGTTGTTCCTAAAGAACTGTTTCTAAAGATAGGGAAACTAATGTATCCTCCCACTCTTCTACAAAATCAGTGATAATATTACTACCTTATTGGTAAAGCATTTTTGGAATATTGGCATCTGACAAGCTAACTTGGTAGGTAAAAGATTAAATTATTATGAAGATTTAAACCTGGATGTCATTGGATCATATGATTCTCAATGACTCTGAGCAATTCACCATAATCACAATAAAACGAAAAAAGATGGCAAGTGCAATGAAGTGAAAGGTCTGCCAAAAGCCTTGGTGAAGTACCGGGTGTCCATGGCTTTTCTAAACAACGGGAATGAGGATGATAGCTGATACAAGGTGTATCAAAAGTCAGTCCCATAGATGAGTTATTTTTTTCCCCCAGTTAAAATGTTGCAGTACTTAGCAGTTCTTCAAGGTAATATGTCATATAGCAACCAGTTTGAATATTTAATGTAATATATTGCCAGTTACAGCTGCAATAGATTGATTTCCCTGGGCTTGTGATGCATGACATTTAAAGTTTTGTATGAAAAGACTGATTCTTTTTGGCTACTCAAAATTTATTCCAAATAGGAAATGTTTATATAATTTCAACACAACACTCCAGCTGGTGGATCTTGGCTAATAGCTCCTATTAGCTGTAAATCTGATGCCTCTTCATTTGAATTTTAAAATGAGGCAAGATGAGAATCTTTTTAGTTTTGTTTTGTTATATAATCTGCTATCCTTTGTATGTAAACTATTTTCAGAGAAGTATTGAATTAAAGAATTGACAAGATCTAATAATCATACTCATTTCCATGACAATTTTGAATTAAATATCCCTTTGGTAGATTTTGGCTGTCTCTTCAAGAAGAGGTATATTATTCTGCACTTCAGTTATGCAATCACTTTATATAGTTGTGCATAAAGAGAACTCAGGATTTCTTACTGGAGTAGTAACTTGGATAACAATAATTTAGGTTAAGTGGCCCTTGAAAGAAAGAACAGGCTAGATAGTAGCAAAATATGTGTCGTTATTCTGTTTTGGTGCAATACTGAACAAAGAAATGACTATGCTCCTATTTCCTATGCTGTATTTCCTATTATAAGAATAGATTAGGGATTAGGTCAAAGCAATGTGAATATCTTGCAAGCAGCCCAGATTCTTTTTAAATTATCTTTCAGCATTTTTGAAAATGTATTGATGCAGGAAAATCAGTGGTGGGATTCAGCCGATTCGCACTACTTTGGCAGAACCGGTAGCTAATTTTCTGTTGCCTAGTCCCAGAATGGACTTCCAGAAGCGGCATCCACACAGAGAACTGGTTGTTCATATATTTGAATCCCACCACTGAGGAAAATGTTAAAATTCCATGAGGTTGCTGCCACTTCATGTCTCCAACTACCCCCTTGAGCTTTAAAGTAGCTTACCAAGTTTGTAAGATTCTTATTTTAAACCTGTCCTAATATTTTTAACAATAGCATCATTGGCAAAAGCTACGTATCTAAAGTTTTCCTGCCTTAGGGATGGAAGTGTCAGCAAGTCCATTGAAAAGATTATAACTTTTTCCTTGCTTAATTGTGAAGCACTTCTAATATTTTACCCTAAAATTGTTTCTGAACTAGTTTGAAAATTACTATATTTACAGAAAGCACTTAATAGAAATAAAGGTGCCAAATATTAACTATTAAACTATCTCCTTGCAGAGAGATGGGCAGTAAATACATTCAATAAATATACAAATAGTCATTTAGCTGAAGATATTATATCCTTTTATATCATATATAGCTGGACAATCTTGCAAAGTAGATGATATTTATGTGTCTCTTCCAACTTTAGCTGCCAAGTGAAATCAGTGAGATTAGTCATAAAAAAATCAGATCTGAATTAAGACAATATTGCTTTTATCTTTAAAATGTAGAGTTGTATCTCTTAATGGAGCCTCTCATGCTATTATTATCTGTAGTGCTTTTTTTTCTTATATAAATTGATGCTTTAGTTTGTTTCAGTCATTTCATACCATTCTCTTGTTTACTTTTCTCCTACAGTTTTCCTCTACATTTTATTGGCTTTAATGTCATTATTTTTATAGGACATTATCAGTATCTATAATGCTTATCTTAAAAATAAGAAGAAAATAGTTTTCTGCCCTGAAAAACTTAAAACTAGAAAACAAAACATCCTTTGTATTTTTGGTAGGAGAGTTCTCTACATAGGTGAATTTAACAAGGCAAAATAGAGAGAGACCAGAGACCAAAGCAAGTGATCAGTCATGCAAGAAAAAAAGAGAAAAAAGGTTGCAATTTTTATCATACAGATGTCACATGATTTGATAATTATTGGGGGCAAAGGAGTGCAAGATAAAGATTATTCAGTGTAATGGATAGTGATATTGTATAATGAATGATTGAAGTTTGGAAGGAATACTGTAGTTTGATCTCAGACATATCAGCCCATGGTATCCCTCTGAAGCATCTGGCAAAATCTGGCCTTGAAAATCTGGCCTTTCATAGTGATTCCAATCTGCCTGTCGGGTTATATTAATGTCAAGTGATTTCTGTTTGGACCCTTAGGCCATTGATCTGTGATGTCCTACAAGATTCCATCTTGTTTCCCGTGCTTTTTAACAACTGTGTGAAGCTTATGGTAGAGTTTAGAGATGGTATGCAATATATTCTCTTAAATTCTAAATCCCGAGGAAGTAAACTGATAGGATTGGTGGCAGATATCCACATCTTGTTACATACTATCTTGAGTTTAGAGATGGTATGCAATATATTCTCTTAAATTCTAAATCCCAAGGAAGTGATAGGATTGGTGGCAGATATCCACATCTTGTTACATACTATCTTGATTCCTGCAATATACCCAGAAGTTGTAAATGGCATGAACAGCAGCTAACAAAAATAATAGGATATAGCAATAATCTGTATTAATTCTTTTTTTTTTCAGGCACAATTTAAGGTATTGGTACTGACCTTTAAACCTTAAATTATTTTGGCCTCTCCAAAGGACTCTCCAAGTATAATTCTGTCTGGGCTATTAAGATAGAGGTTGTTAAGATACATCTGTTTTGCCACATTTGTTTTGTTGTTGTTATTAAAATGAAATGATTACCTACCTGGAATGCTTGCCAAAATAGAAAGGCAAGGAGGAAAAGTTTTCAAGTGAGTTTGTCAAAAGAACATTTAGAGATGCTGCGCTACATGGATTAAAAATGACTTCCAGAGTAGAGAAGATGTCCTTGGTGCAAAGGTGATACAAAAAATTGTTGTATGTCAGGTGAAGAACATTTGTAAGGCCCTTCTATATGCATCATGTACATACAGCAGAGATTGGAATTGTGCTGCCATGTTCCCACAGTTCTGGGATTCTGTTGTTGAGCTGATTAACTTCTAGGACATCTACAATGCAGGAGGAACCAGCAAAAATCATTCCAGGGCTAATGTTGGAACTGTAAAATTGGCAGTATTACTGACAAGAATTCTTGCTTTGTCCTTATTTATTTAAATATTTATGTGGCCATTAACTCCACCTAAGTGATGGGGCAAGTTACAGAAATTTCCACAGAATCTAACAAAAAATGTACAAATCCACAAAATAAGAAGAAAATGGCAATCTAAGAAGAAATGACACCTTTATCCAATTGGGGTTTTAAAGGCCGGGGGGGGGTATAGGGGGGAAGGCTTTCTCTATTTGCCTTGCCAACATTTTGTAGCACATTTTAAATTGAGGGAGAATTCCCTCTCTACCAGGGAAGAGAAGCTTTTTTGCATCTTCCATTGATTACCTGGAAGAGATTAGAGCAATAGTGAGGACATAGCTCAAGTGGCATAAAAATGTTTCGAGGGTGAACCTGGTGACTATTGAAATGCCCCAAGAATAGATAGGAGAATGAGAAAAACAGGACTTGAGGGATTCCAACCAGAAAACAAAAAGTCTCACACAATGAAAATATTAGCTATTGGAGAACAAAACACAGAAAGATTACAAAAATTTAAGCTAAAGAGATCAAGAAAAAAGAAATAATGAGGTATATCAAGAGGAGCGGTGATTTTGAACATTACAGATATTCCTCTTACTGTCTAGTCCAGTGGTTCTCAACCTTTTTAATGCCGCGACTCCCAACCGGTCGTAAGTCGAGGACTACTCAATTGGTGCAGCACCGTTTGCAGAATGGGACTTTTGACAGGCTCAGCAGGGCAGAGACAGCCTGGACAATTCCTATTGGCTTTTGAAAGCCAATAGAATTAGACTCTATTCAACAGAGTCTATTCTATTGGCTTTCAAAAGCCAATAGAATAAAAGGGAGTAGCACAGCTAAGGAAAAGGAGAAAAAAATGGCGGACTGCGTTGTTTGGCAAGGTCCCAACCCACAGGTTGAGAACCACTGGTCTAGTCCTTGAAATAGCTGCACTTCTAATGGGTTCCCCATCCTAATTGGGTTTATTGTCAGAGCGGTAAACATAATCCAAAAGATCTGAAGGGCAAAATTTGGAGCAGGACATCAGGACAGAAATTGAGGGTTCTAACATAGTATAGTAGGATCTTCATTCCTCATTTTGAAATATGAAACGGTATCTAAAAGAGGTAGGAATAGAAAGCTAAAATTCTTAGGTTTCAGTCTATATAGAATTACTGGTAAAAGTTAACTGTAAAATAGGTAAAAATACTTATGCATAAACATCCTAATTAATGGTAAATATTTCTGAGCAAATATTCAAAAGGAAGAATAATCGGTACCCTAAGCAGAGATTAGCCATATCCAATGATACTTGAGGAAAACGTGAGAAAAGAGCTGTGCCTTCATAATGCTAAAAGATGAGTGATAGCAAATGGGAAATATGGCTGCCTGTGCCAAGGCCCGATTAGAATTAGCGGATGGCTAGCAAAAAGAGACGTTTTGTTTCGTTTTAGTTTCGGAACTCCCCTTAAGACATTCTTTAGACATTTGGGCTGAAGCACTGACACGGTGTCTCCCACCTTTTTCCTCCTGGGAGGGGGAAGAAACAGTACTTCCCCAATTCGGAAACCCTTTAAATGTATTGAACTATTAATCTTATAGTACAATAATAGGCACCCTCCCCAGTAGCCATATGGAGTAGAAAGGTGGGAGTAGCGGCCCGTAATTCTTCAAAGAAAACCGACACTTTAAGAACTTTAATTCCCAGTGTTCCTTGGGGCAGAAGGAAGGTTGTGATTGGTAGTCATTTTTAAGCTGGTCCTTCTGTCGCGATCGATTCTTTCTCTTCATTGGTGGCGCTGCAAATGCTTGCAGGCCTCTGGGTGTTCGAGGCGCGTAAAGGACCGTGAGACTGGTTTGCCTATTGGTGTCTGGGGTGCGCCTGAAGGGAAAGTAGTTCGCGCTCGGCAGCCTCTTGCCGCTCGGGATAGTGGTGTGGCATTATTGGCGTGTGCTGAAGAGCCATGGACCGGGAGGAAGGCGAGGTAAAATATATTTAGCCGACTTGTGTCCACCATACTCAGAGAGACATTCGGCGCTAAAAGTTACAGGGGATTTTTCTTTGGATAATTACGAGCGGGAAGAAAGAGCATCTTACCTGAATAATCTACCACATCTGGGTTTTTTTTTCTTGAAAATAGAAAGTAGGACTCTCAAAGCAGATATTCGTAGGTCCCCTTTTCCACAATCATCCTCGGGGGCTTCCTGAAACTTGTTTATTATTAAATATTTTCATTTGTCTTCCGTCAATCTGTCGCAAGCAATCTGAGATATTTATCTCAGGACTACCTATTGTCCATCATGCAATAGGTATTGAACTCTCGAAAGACTGGAATGTACTTTTTCTTTACTCGGTGACTGGAGGTGCCAGGAATTGCCACATTCTTGCCTGTCGGGCTTGATGGTGCATTTATAAAATTTATAGGCTACTGCAATCTGTCCCGGAAAAAGCAAAGCGTCACACAAGTAATCTTGTCATCTGCTCTATCCTATGGCCTGTTGGGGGGGGGGGGAGAAGGCAGGCCTTGAGAGCTCATTGAAATAAGCTCATTGAACTAAGATGGAGCTGTATGACTGGAGCTGTATCACTATTATCAGTTTAATTCTACAATAGTGTTTTTCAAACTTTGCAACTTTAAGATACGTGGACTTCAACTTTTAAAATTCTCCAGTTACCATGTTAGCTGGGCAATTCTGAGAGTGGGAGTCCACACATCTTAAAGTGAGATAGACTCAATGGCTCACATATAATAATATTGCCAATCTCATAGGGAATCTCATTTGAATGCCATATTGCTGCTAATGAAGGAGAAAAGCTGCAGCATTCTCATTGCAAATGTTCCTGTTTGTGTAACTGGTGAGATAGAATCAATGAACCACATATAATACTGCATCCAATAATAATAATGCATTGAGTACTTCATCCAGTTTTGGTCACCAAGATGTAAAGAATACTGCATCCAGTTTTGGACACCATTATATAAAAAAGATATTGAGACTCTAGAAATAGTGCAGAGAAGAGCAACAAAGATGATTAGGGAACTGGAGGCTAAAACATAAAAAAGGGTTGTTGAATTGGGTATGTCTAGCTTAATGAAGAGAAGGACTAGGGGTGATGTAATAGCAGTGTTCCAATATCTCAGGCATTGCCACAAAGAAGAGGGAGTCAAGCTAATCTCTGGAGCACCTGAAGGCAGGAGAAGAAGCAATGGATGGAAACTAATCAAAGAGAGAAACAACCTAGACTAAGAAGACATTTTCTAACATTTAGAACAATTAATCAGTGGAACAACTTGCCTCCAGATGTTGTGAATGTTCCAACTCTGGAAGATTTTAAGAAGAGATTGGAGAACCATTTGAAATGGTATAGAGTTTCCTACCTGAACAGTGGGTTGGAGTATAAGACCTCCAAGGTTCCTTCCAACTCTGTTATTCTATTCTGTTCCTATTCCTATTCTATTCATGTTACCTGCCTCACAGGGAACCCCACCTTCTAAAATAATGCTTTCAATCAGTGGAGTGGGGTTGGAGATAGGTAAAAAGGGTAAAGGACTCCCTGCAGATTTTACTCAGCTAGTCGTAGCCAGCTTTGGGGGCGGTGCTCATCTCCATTTCAAGGCCATTGAAACAGTGCTACCTGAAAATGTTTCCATGGTCATGTGGTCAGCATGATATCACAAAGCAGTGTTATCTTCCCACCTAAGTGGAACCTGTTTATCTACTCATATTTGCATACTTTTGAACCGCCATGTTGGCAGTAGTTGTGGCAAGAACGGGCACTCACCCCAACGTGTGGCATTCAGGTCTCGAACCTGGGATGTCAGCTTTCCAGCTGACAAGCCCAGCATCTTAACCATTGAGCCATCACGCCGTCCCTGGAATGGGGAAGCTCACATTTATTATTGAACCAATAAGATTGCCTTCTAACGCTGTCACCAGTTTTACAGAATTTGTGTCAGTTTATCAGCAGTTATTCAGAGAATGTTTACTATATATGTTATTTTATTTACATTTTTATTTTAATATGGGTTGCACATTTTTACTTTAGCTGGTTGCTGACCTTAACAGTAAACCTATTACAGTACATATAGAATTCTTCTTGATCCTAAAATATAAACTTTCTTGTTCGTGACTTCTGTGCTTCTATAAGGTTATAAGGTTACATTAAATGTTAAGAAAAAATAGTCTCATTCTGACCAATTGATAAATTCTTATTCCACGAGCCAGTTACAAAGTAGCTAATATTTTCAAAACACTGTGCTAGAAATTGAAAGTATGTATTGAAAGATACAGTTGTCCATCAGGAGACTGCAATAGCAATTTTCTGTTGAAAAAATTAAGAACATTTAACTGATTGCTATACAGTGTAGCTGTACATTTTTTATTGGTACTCTGAAAATTTCAGAATGCTATTGGTGTCCATGCCTGTTTGATATCCTAATATTCTGAAACTACAGAATTGATAGTAGTCCAATAATAAGCAAGAACAGAAGCAACTTATATCACCTGATGTTTAGAAATTTAAATTGCATTTACTTATATAAACCAACTAAGCACACTTGTGACTAAGTTCATAAAATACACCTTGTGATTTACAAGTTATGGTAAACTAAACAAATCATGGGTTGGGGAAATATAAGAATCAAGTTAGTGTATTCATTCTTACTTTGAAGAAACAAAGTTCTATAATATCCTTACTGAATGTATCCCAAGATTAGCCATTGTTACCAGTATGCAAACTGTGACTGAACTTATTTCTGGTTTTCTGTGTTGTTGTGCAATGACTTGTGAAACTGCAGTTTATTAAGTAGGTACAGTTCTAGAAAGACTAGCAAGTAAGAAGTCACATAATCTTCTGACTACTCAAAATACTGCAGAATTGCTTTTGCTCAATTGCCCGAATTCTCTATAGATTTTCCTCTTTATTGGGAAGACATCAGTTTCTACTTGAAGGGAATTGTGTTTTCATGGCTGTGATGAAAAAGACTTTCTTATACAGAGGAACAGAATGGATTGTGTAAATTTCTGAAAATACATCTATCTTTTAGGACTGTGAAATTCTGTGAGAAGTGATGTTTTAGAATGAATATGAACACAATCCCTGTCTGCAACTAATTAAAGCAGCTATATCTGTTCCCAGCTGCTACAATGAGTTGCGATCTTCGTACTTCCATAGGTTCCAAAGCTCTTCCAAACAGATCCAGACATTGCACAGGTTACTGGCTAATTTACCCCTGGAAATGTGGGGCTATGGAGGTCTCTCAGTAGTAATGTTGATCATAGCATTTTTTTCCCTCAAAATTATGCCAAGCTAGAATTTAAAGGAAAATAGGTACAAAATATTTTATAGAGGGTATATAAATAATTATTAAGATCAAATAACAATAAATGTTAGAAATACCGCAATGAGAAAGGGACATTCTATCACATATGTAACAACCAAGAAGAACTGGAAAATAATAAATTAAAATATTGAGAAAATTCTACAAAATAAAATTTGGATTGAATCCGCAAATATTTTATGGTATATTTATTCATGTGAATCTTTCTTAGTTTCTTATAAAATCAATGTGATAATAGAAGTTACAATTACAAATTACAATTTTATTAAAAAATTAAAGTGATAAAAATATACATCAAACAAATATATAACAAGAGTGGTTTCTGATTTTTAGTACAGAGACTAATACAACAACCATTCTCTGAGTTTATATGAATAATACCAATATTTAAAATATCATAAAATATACATAGCATTCTAAAAAACGTATAGTCATAATATACTCTCTTAATTTTAATTCAACATATAATATATAGTCAAATATGAATACATATAATTACAGTATGGGGTCTCCTGCTTGTGCAGGGGATTGGACTACTAGAAGATTTCCAAGGTCCCTTCCAACTCTATTATTCTGTTCTGTTCTCCAGCACCAGAGATGGAGAATCCACCAATGGGTTAGCTCTGCCTTCCTGCCCACTAGACCAAGTCAGCCAAACTTGCCATACCTGTCTTGGAATAAACCACTCCCAGTCTTGACTTGGTCTTCTTCCCAGACGGACATGACAAGTTTGGCTCCCGGTCTAAGGCAGGTAATAGAGATTAATATATTGGTGGATTCTGTTTTCTCTCACACCCACAGTTATTTCAACAGCACTGGGATCAGCATTGTGTGAAATAGTCTTTAGGAGGCTCGGGGAGGTGCTTTCTTTCCTTCCTAGATCTGGGGTTATTGCTGAGGCTTCATCTCCCTCCTAAAGGAAAAGCCCTCCTCAGCTATTCAGCGCTGGAACCAGCGCTGCTGCCGAAGCCTATCCAGACCTTCTGGTGGGTGTGGATTCCCCCTCTGTTCTCCCACCAAATTGAGGAGCCGGCTGGACTCCAGGGGGGTGGAGATTCTGTCTGTTCGTTACTGAATTGAGGAAAGCTGGCTGGACTCCAGGGGGGTGGAGACTCTGTCTTTGTTCGTCCCTGAATCGAGGAA